TGAACAAGGAAGAGCTAATGGGCCCCCAGACTGATAGCTGGGAAACCAGCGTTGGACTGACTCAGACCCCATGAACATGGGTCTCAGTTAGAAGGCCTGGGGACTTTCACAATGGAACCAGGATATATCCCTGGTGCATGAAAGGACTTCAGGAGCACATTCCCCATGGAGGGATACTCCCTTAACCTAGAGGCAGGAGAGAAGGCCTAGTCCCTACTCCAAATGACTTGACAGATTTGATGATCCCTCCTAGAAAGCATCACTCTCCCTGTGGAATAGGAGGGGAATGGGATGGAAGAGGGGGACATGGGAAGGAGGGAGGAAGAGGGAACTTGGATTAATATGTAAAATAAGAAATATAAACATATATATCCTATCATTAGGTTTGACAATATATACTCTTTTTCTTACTACTTTTTAGTTTAGTCCATATAGCACTTGTAGAGGCAGACCAAACTCAAAGTCTTACCAAACACTGTTTCCTTTAGAATAAAAACTAGACAACAAGTCTATTTAGGATATAAAATGTGGCAATAAACATCTATTATTCTGCTTAGTAATAGCCTAATGAGGAATCCCCCATGTCTTTGAAGAAAATTTACCCACTATAATCAATTCTTCTTAGGAAATTATAGCAACAAATTAAACCTCTTAAAACTAAGGCCTTGGTTCAAAAAAGCCCCCATTAAAACTGACAATAGAGCTAATGTGAAATCATGTACAAAATCATCTTTAAGATGAACTTGTGATATTGCAGGAAAGATTTGTTATTTCAAATCACTGCTTACCCATACAAAACTTACACTAAGAGTAAGAGATGAAGCTTAGTCTTTTTTGTATGTCCAGTACATACCCAGCACACAGTGTTGAATGGCTGGAGATAATTAGATGATTAGGGAAGGAAAGCATTCAATAAGCCGAAAGTCAATAATATTCTTAAAAGTGACGGGACATTCATCGTTTTAAACTCTATTTTTCCTAAACTAACACAGCTACATTTAAATTAATTTTACACATAATCACACCACTGGAAATGAATAGCAAATATTAAAGCAAAGTCAATAAGCTCAGAAGCTTTAGTTTAAAGCAAATGCTACCTTTATATAACGCTTATTTCTTCATATGCCATTAAAATCGTGTTGGAAATTTATAATTATATCATCATAAATGGTATGAATTTTATTTCTTTAATACTCATTTTTAATGAGAAAAAAGTAAACCTATTATTTAAGTAATTTCAAACTACCACCATCTTAAAATTAATATGAAATGTTGTAAAACTACATTTTCCCAACCCCTAAACGTGTGTGGGGGGGTGAAAGGGCAAAGTAAGACTTTAGAATATTCATTCTCTAATTAATTTTTCCTGTTTGTATTGACTTTCCAGAGCTCCGTGTTTAGTAAAAGATCCCTTGTTTTAAATTCTAGTCTCTGTGAAAGAATGAAAATAGACCAAAGCCACCTAGTATAGTATCCTTCTTCAGTCTTCCCACATGGCACAGGTACTTCTTCTCTGAACAATGCCTTGCTCATCCAGCCTTCAATGCTTAGCCACAGTTTAACCTGCTTTGCTCAATGCACACTGCTTTCTAAGTTACTCTGCACTTACCTTGTATGCTATCAAAGTGTACTTTTATATATTGGCAAATATGGGTTTGTGATTTGTAATTAGATAAATATTCCATTATCAAAAGTTTATTGACTATTTCTCATTAGAATAAGTAAACATGTCTGAAGAGAACCCAGCCACAGCTTAGGCTAGGCGGTCATTTATTTCCTGTTTAAGTTTTCAGCAGAAGACAGGCAATGTGAATGGCCTGCAGCACCTACATCTCTCTCATTAATGCTCTAAATCAGTAATATTTTAAAGAAATAACACACAAGTGTATTAGTGAGTTGCATTTTCAGATGGTGCACAAAGTTGCACTGCAATAAACACATGAAAGAAGTGTAGCAATGTAACATGTTGAAGCAACTTCTAAAGTTCTGTGCTGCATGGATCAAGCCCTCACTGCAATCGACTACCCAGCAAACCAGGCAAGAGGCTATCACTGTGCCATTTGAAACTCTGAGCAGAAAATATTTGGATATGTGTACTTTACAAATAAAGTGAAAACTAAAAAACACAATCTTGAAACTAATTCACTAAATAGTTGAACTCAAGAGCTCACTGGCAATCTCTATGAGACTTTCTCTTGTATCATTTTAAAACATTTGTACTGTATAATGCATTGAGTGGTATGGATTAATCATATAGTGCATTTTAATACTTATGGTGGTCTTACCATTTGGTCCTAGGTATGTCATCAAAGGTCCAAGGGTATATACCTATCTAACACAAAATTAATAGAAAACCCACCATATGGATGAAAAATCAATTCATACATAGTACCTATTATAAACAGCATGAACTACTGTAGAGAATTTAGAGAAAACCGGAAGCTCTTTCCCACGACTTAGGCTACAGAAAGCTGAAGGGAGTGATAACCTTGTCACACTAATTTAAAAGGCTGTGCAATGGCCTCTGGTGCTCACTTTCCACTCCCAAGTTACTTGGGTTATAAATAACCCATAAAATTTAATATTTAAGAGTAAATTAAAAAATTAAAAGCTATATAATTTTATAGAGTTGGATTTCTATGCTTATTTTTACCAGTAACAATAATAATAGCAACAGTAACAGAAGTAGCGGATTGAGTCAAAATAATTACTACTCTATTATAGATATTATTCAGTAAACTATACTGTACCCAAGTCACCCTAAATAAAAACTGAGCTTATCAGGAACAAATTAAGACAACAAAGAAAGAATCCATAATTATCTAAATTGCTCAAAAACATAGGTAATATTGATATTTATAAAAATGAAAATATATAAAAAAAAAGAGACGTTAAAAGTATGAAGAGTTCCAACTTAAGCTGGAAGTAAAACTGTCATTTTAACTCTTGATCTAGTTACTGTTTTACTAAATATTTTGACAGTGTTGATAAATCACATACCAGGAAGGGAAAGTACAATGCTATTTTTCATTTTTATAAATTTGTATTCTTAAGTTTCATGATTTAACTAAAACATTCCATCAAGGATTTACTAGCATTTAGTTTGATTTGTACTGTCAAAAGCTCTTAACAGTTAAGAGGAATAAGATACAACCAAACTCAGATGTCACAGAGACAGACTATATAATGAAAAAACCTGATCATTTCAGGAAAAAATACAGAGTAATTTTACATATTTTTAAAAATTAGACATTGACAAAAACCTATTCTATAAGTATAGTTCTAACTGTAATTTTCATTGAATATGAATTGCAACTAACTAGAACTAGTGAGGATGCAGTATTGTGCAACACTTGAATGTAAGTTTTTAAGCTAAAACTGCTAATTAGAATTATACTTGAGAGATAAGCCCTAATTATTGTTTGTAAACTACTATGGGAGCTTCCCAAGCTTCAATTCTGCATTTCTAGAATAATTATTATTAAATTATGTTACTGAAAAAGTGCCTTAAATACGCATCAGAAAATTATATTGCACTTTAAACCATAAAGCTAGTAAGCAGTAAGGATTTTCAATTCCTTCATCAGTACTAATTCACAACAAACCTAGTAAAAAAGAAGGCAAACAAACTGAAATTCAGGGATACAGCAAACACTAGAAGTTATCTTAAATTGCTGTCTATCAGTTGGTATTATTATTATTGTTTGGGGGGAAAGTTTTTCTTTTGAAAACCTACATTACATCTCATAGGATCATGCTTTAAAGAAGACCTCAATTTTTATACATCATAATAATATGGTATCAAAAAACATTCAATTTCAAATTTGTAACACAAAGAATCTGTGTTTTAACAATCCCATTTAGTTTGTCTCAGCTGCTGAGTAGATGTAAATGTAATCCACACCACTATCAAACTCTAGGTCTAATAGATATCAAGCTAATATTTATTTCTAAGTGCTTTAAAAATTATTCGTAAAACCTGCATAAAAAGGATTCCGTGAGTGTATTGTGATTTGACTTTAACAATTATTCTGCACTACAATGGAAGTACATGCTCAAACAAGACACCTCAGCAGTATTTTAAAGCAGTAACCACCTAGCCAATTTCTGTATGTTCTGTAGTTTTTCTAATCCACTCTCCCTGTGGTTGAGCAAAATCGAATTGCCTCTCACATTTGCAGACAGCTCTGTGAAGGTGATAATAGAGCTGCACCCTGCTGTCATGAGGCAGGAAATAGGAAAATGGCATATGGGGCTAGAAAGAAAGAAATAAGGGGAAAGAAAACGAAAGAACGAACAAAAAAAGAGAGAGAACTAAACAAGAACAAAAGAGATCTCAACAAAGAACAATATAACTCAATGTGCTCTGCAAGTTAACCTCTTTTCAGAATCAGTCAGCATATTTAATCATTCATCTGTGTCCTTACTACAAATACATGAATGGTTGATTACCAAGTCTGTAGGCAAATTTTCATTGTCTACAATATTTGGAAAATACAACTCCAGAATACATCTTGCATAATGCCTAAAAAACAGAGCCCTTTAAATAAATATTTTTAAAATGTGCTGGTATTTATTAAACTATTACTATAAAGTATAAAGCACCAAACATATATTTTTATATAAATAACAATCCCATATATATATATATAATGTATACATAGGATTTTATACATCCCATATATGCATGATATATATATATATATGATGTATAAAACATGGAAATGGGATGTATAAAGCTTTTAGTATAAAGCTTTCAAATTTATGATTTTTTTTAAATTAAGGATAAACATTCATTCATAATAATAGTAAACTAAAAATTGGTTAAATTGCTAATACCATGCCATATATTTATGGACTCATAGAATTTAAATAAAAAGCATGTGTATATGTATGCTTAATTAAGAACACTTTCAAATAAAAGGAGTTTTTTTTTTTTTTTTACATGTATGTGTATAACAAGTGGCAGCAGATGGCAATAAAGTTAGAATTGACTCTACCTTTCCTTTTACACTCTGAATGGGATCCACAACCACTGCCACAGCTCTCTCCGACAAGGCTTCAAAGCTCTGCTGAGTGTTGATATCCACACCAGAAAGCCAACAGCCAAAGCCAGGGTGACTGTGATACCAACCAACAACCATCTCAGGCCTGAAACAAAGAGGGCATTCAGACACTCAGAACACAACAAGTAATACACTGATGATATGAAAGAAACAACACACTAACAGGGTATAAATTAAAAAAAGATGAAAAACACGCAGGTGTGAAAAAGCACCATTAAAAACTCTGAAACGGGACACGTATTAGCCAGAAAGCATGGAGATGAGTAACTGTGACAAAGGAGCTATCATTAAGAGATGCACATTAGCAGTGGTAGATAAGGCTTTCAGGTTTTCACCTTGTTACCACACGTCTCAGAGCCAGTGTTTAGCCTCCTTCAGCATTCGAGTAAATATCTACTCTAACTCCTTAGCTCTGGGAGCTTCGTTTTCCAGGCACACAGTACATTTTTTAACAATGGACACCAGGATCCACTGTTGTGAAAGGATTAAATATCAATTAAAGCAGCAGTAGAACTAGGAACTCAGTCAAAAACCAATTTGCACTGCTCTGCTCAGCTGCTGAGCCTTTTGCTAACACTAATCTTGGAGTTTTCTCCACAGTAGAAGAATCTGAGCAAGAGAACGACAACTATTGGGAGACTTAGTCTGAGGGGGGAAACACTTGGATTATACTGTCTTTAAAACTCATGTCTACAAACACTTATTCAGAACTGCACTTGGCTGCAATTCTCAAATACACACATCACACCACCAGGTCTTTAATAACAAATGAAGAGAAAGTAACCCTACATGCGAAACAGAGGAACATTATAGTCTAAGCCTATGACATGACAGCTGAGACTCTTAATACACTTCAGTTTTCTGATTGATAGATTTTCATTCAGGATGTCAAGAGGCACCACACAGGCAGATCAAATACACTGATCCCTCCCCTTGGAATGACACTCATAAATACCTATTAACTTTAAGGTAAATTTCCAAAAATAGTTCTCATTTATAAGAAATGCTAATGTATGATACATACCTTCCTGTTTGTTTAAGCATATCCAACATTTTGGCTTGGAACACTGGATCAACTGCTTCTACACTGACACCCTAGATCAGAAAAAATAAAAATACTTTGTCTGGGGAACGTTAGGGGAAGAAAGATACTGTAAATGAACAATAAAAGACAACCCCAATTTTGTATTACAATTTTATAGGTTTCATAGCTACTGAAATCACTGAACTCTAAGACTTATACCAACAAAATTTCTAAAACTTCCAAGTACTAAATGCTGTTTGTTAGCTAATGATTGAAACAAAATTCAGGGCATTAAAAGTTTGCAGTCGCTGCTATATATATTTCTGATTATATATATCATCAGAAGTACCAAATAGCTGACAAACTATGATTTCTTTAGTTACAACTACCTATGGTGAGCACACCTAATACCATTCCAGCATCAGGAATTTAAGTCTAATTTACCTTTAAAAAAAGTTTAACAAAAGCACATCCTCCAACCAAAGCAAATAACTCAAGGAATCCCAATAAAGAAGGCATCCTTGAAAAACAAGAGTATGTACTCTAATACTGGGCTAAGATTATCGTTTTGGAGTTTTTTGTGTTTGTTTTTGTTTTTTTCATTGTTTTCAAGAGGAAAAGATGAAGAGAGAATGAAGAGAAGTAGAAGAAGGGCAGGATCTCAGGAGAAGGAAGGTGGGAAAGGAAGAAGAGAGGGGAATGAATATGCAGACATAAGCCTCTATAGAAGAGTCTACTGGCTCTTCTACTACACAGAGTGAAAATAATGATCAAAATAGCTTATCTCATACTGTCACATGGACATTTACATGGAAGTGTGATAATAATGCATCAGACTCATTTATTATCATGATTATCTGCATAGGGACTACCTATAATACAAGTTCATTTTTATGTGCTTGATATATTTTGATAGAAATAGCAGACCAAGATTTAAATCTAAATATAAATTATAGATAATACAGTGTGCTTCTATACACACATGGACAAGAAGCATAATGGATATACATTAAGACAAAAGAATTTCAAATCAACTTACCCAAAAAAGCAAACCAACTAAACCCCAAAACAACAACAACAAAAACCAAGATGTATTACAGATTTTCCTATTGTTTTGTACCATTTTCAAATCTGTTGTATATTATTGCAACTAGTCTACAGAAAATACTTGTTTCATATGTGTATGTATGCATGGCATCTTTTAAATGTGTATAACTTGTACTTGAGTATGTAAGGACCTTCAAACAGAGCAAGCAGCTTCACCTTATAAGCCTTGCCAGTCTTAACAAGAACACTGCCACAGCAGAGGGAAAGTAGCATCCATGACACACAGAAAACACAGAAGTGAGAACAGTATGTGTCATGTTTTGAAAAGCAGGTAGAATATTGAAATTTTTGTTTTGAGAAAGTATCTCAATGTGGGATCAAATGGCTTCAGACTGAATATTCGAAACAAGATGATCTTGAATTCCTTATCTTCTTCCTCCACTTCTCCAGTGCTGGAATCCAAGGTATAAGCCACTGGATTGCCTTTTATTAGTGTTTCTTTTCTCTGACATTTTCTTTAAATCCAGCATACACCTTTAATCTCAGCACTTCAATGCAGAGGCAGGAAGATCTCTATCAGTTCAAGGGTGGCCTGCACTACATAGAGAATTCCAGGCCAGCAAGGACTATACAGTGAGACCCCCATCTCAAACAAACAAACACACACAGCCTAAATGTACTACTTCCTATAAAAAAAAAAAAAAGTTCAATAAATAAAAGGCAAAGAAAAATTACCTCTAAAAAGAAGACATTTTAAACAGTGTAGATTGCTTTTAAAAATCTACATTTTAGACTTAGCCCTCCATATATACAGCACATTAAAAAAAAGCATAGACTTCAGAACAATGGAAATCTCACAGGAGGATTAATTTACATGTATTCAAATTATATATAGTTTCTAAAAACTTTGATCAAATATTCAGAGAAATAAATGTACTTTTATAGCAACTAACTTTTAAATTCAGCTTGTTTGGCTCACAGAAGGAAAGAATGAAGAATTAAAAGACTAATTCATCAAATTCATATTATGAGTCTTATGATTGCTGCTTCCTACAGCAAAGAAAAAGTATAAAGAGATGAAAGTTATTTTGAATTAAAAAAGAAAAGAAAAATAAGACAAGAAGCAGCCAACATAAAAGTACTACTCACAGTTCCTGACTGTGGCATAGCAAACACATCAATCACTCTGACGGTGTAATCATCAACAAATTCGCCAAGCATTAGACCCATAACTTCCATAGGAACTCCAGCACGGCCATGTTTTAACATCTGTAAAGAGGAAGATATAGATATTAAGCACATTTATTTGAAACACACACACACACACACACACACACACACACACACACACACACACACACAGCTAAACAGCCTATTTTGCTTCTGTGGAAATAACCTATTTCATAGATGCATCCTAAATAATACTTACGCTTGAGGGAATTAAGGTGATAAATACACCCAAGTAGAAGAATGACTACAAAGGAGGATCTAAAGCAAGTAACTCTATTCCTTACTTACCTTTAGCAATGCCAAGGAGGAGATATAGACTTGTTCTGCCGTGTCCACGGCAGGAGCATCTGTAGGTGGACCCTAGAAACAAGTTCATCAATTACTATAACACACAGAATATGGAGTTAGAAATAAAATTACATGTGGAATAAACTTTATTATTTTCAAGACATTATAGGAGACCATCAAGTATCTTTTTATCCAATTACAATACAAATAATAAATTATAATTGTAAATGTCTTCATAAAGGATAAAGGCAACAGTCAAAACTCAGTTCCCTGACAACTTTGGAAGTAAAGTTTACTTCCAAAGTACTAATTTACCTTGGCTACAAAATAATTATTGTCAATTATTATAACATTTGTTACCACTATGTTACAATATAATATAATCTGAATACCAGAACCTATTGATTAGCTTGATAAACTGAAGGATCAACAAAAACAGCAAATCCTCTGAGCTCCTTCAGCTTTAGCTATAGACAATATGCAGACTAGGGAGAGAGATCCCTTTGCAGACTCAGAGATAGAGTGGGAGGGAAGGCGGTAGAAGACTTCTAATCCCTAGGTGAAAGAGCTGTGAATGAACAACATACTCTGCAGTTGCCTAATGAAGTTGTTCCCTTCCCCAACACACAACAAATTTACAACCACCACCTCAGATGCCAACAAACCAGATAAGGTCTGGTAGGTGGCACAAAAATACTTCCAATAATTGAACACTGGCATTCATAGTATAACTTAGTTGGTTAATAAACCAAAAAATTTCTCCCAAAAGATCCTACTTATTCACAAAGAGAAACAAATCTCTAGTGGTTGTCATAATGAGCCTCACAGAGCATCTTGTAGTCTTTACCCTCAAGGTACCTTCACCTCAGCAGACAGTAAATACAACTCCATGTCAAGCAGCACACAGCATTAAAAAAAAAAAAAAAAAAAAAAAAAAAAAGGTCTTTCTTTTCAATATTGGGACGTGTAGAACTGTTTCTAACTGCTATGGCATTTTTATTTTTCTATACCATGTCAAATATGCTAACTACTCATTCTCTCTTGCTTTTATGCTTTTACTTGTTGAAATTAAATTACTGCTTTACTCATACTCCACTAACAGTATATGTGTACGTCTATCTATACACTAAATTCTGTCACATTTGGGGGCATTTAAAAATCTTACAATATTTACTGGAAGCATTAAGCATAGGTGATTGCCAAATGCAAACAATTTATCATCACTAAATACAGCTTTGTTGTTTCTTTCAAAATGAAAACTAATTGGTAAGCAAAAGCACTTTTTGCTGAAGTTATATAAAAGTTTTAAAATCTAATATCATTCACTTAGCTAAGAAAGATTAAGAAATGGGGCTGAAGAGATGGCTCAGTGGTTAAGAACACTGGCTGCTCTTCCAGAGGACCCAAGCTTGAATTCCAGCACCCATATGATGGCTCACAACTGTTTGTAACAAGTTTCAGAGGATATCACATCCCCTCTGACCTCCACAGGCCCAGAGCACATATGTAGTGCTCACACATGTGTAGGTAACGCCTCTATACAGAAAACATAAACAAATAAATATTTAATAAAAATTTTAAAGATAGATTAAGAAAGTTGAAGACTGCATCATATCAGATGTGATGATATATCTGTGAAATTATACTTCAGCCTTAAGATGATAAATACCATATTTAAGTTATTTCTTGGACAATTTAAAAATTGTGTGTGTCATCTATAGATATTAAAATAGCTTTTTTCAATTTAACAGATAATAATAATAACTATTTTTTTTAAAGAGATCACATTTTACCTATATATACCACCGACAGAATCCAGAAACTATTTCAGTCATCAATGGAGTTAAACTACCTTTGTTATGTATTATACATAATCAAAGTAGCAAATTATATGTCACATAGCAAGAACTTAATAGTACTTGCTGAAAAAAATAAATGAATCAAAAAAGATGGTACAAAAACCTAATAGAACTGAAAAACGAATTTTCACCAGTTATGAGCGGAGGCAAGCACATGCAAATGGAGAGAGCTTAGTTTCTCTTACAATGTATTTTCTTAAGATTCACAATCACACTAACAGAAAGCCCTGTGTTAGGAAGAGCCTTGCCCCTTTTTGGTATCAGTGTTGTCTGTAGGACAACAGTCAATGATATTTACTATTTTGCTCTTGCCTCTCCCCACCCCCAATAGGATCTCTGCCTGCCCTCCCTTCCTCCAAAGTCTTGCTAATTGATCCAGGTTGGTTTCAAAGCCTTCATTCAGCTTCCTGACCTCTCAGGTGTGGGCCACCTAGTTTATGTCTTAACCATGTTAGCCAGAGAATAAAATTACTCAGCAATGGGGTACTGGCAAGAAATAAAGAGGAGAGGGGTTGGTAGCAGTTAAATGTACAGTGAGACAGAAAAAAGGAAAGGGAGGAGAAAATGGGATACATATGAAGAAGACTGTGAGAGCAGTGAGCATCTTATCTAGGCTACAATGATTCTACACAAACACTCCTGTTCTGAATAAGACTCAATGAGGCAATAAAGAAGAGATCTCATAAAAAGACCTTGGAAACCAAGTTAAGAGAGGCATGTGAAAACTTGAACAGCTAAACAACAAAGACAGCCCTCAAGAAGGAAAATGTGGAATTACAGACCATCCACAACTAGTGTCTTTTGGTAAAATTGTTCTATAGCCCAGCATACTGATAATTCAAAAAGTCACCTACAAATTGGAATAACATTTTAGAAAACCTGTCAATAGAATATAATTTTGTTTGTTATATAATATTGGAGGAAAGACAAGATTTAAAAAGAACCAAAGTTACACAAAAAGAAACAGGGACAAAATAACATTGCTGTAGGTTCCACACAGTGACATAGAACAAAATATTACCTCTTATAAATGGAGCGGGACAGAGCTCAGTGGTGACTGTTCTAGATGTACAGATTTCAAAGATGCTTGACCTGTTCAACTGCTTAAAAATTAAGGCACAGTGTATGTACATCTTCCCAAGTCGGGGGGTGGGGGGTGGTAAGTATGAGACTGCTGTAAAGCACTGAAGGGACCACTCCGGCTTTACTGAAGGCTACCATAGGAAGCCTGTAGGTTCAAGGACAGCTGGCACACCATGGGGAGACCTGCTTTCTCAGTTTTTAGAAAAAGGATTGTTTAGTGAACTACATGAGTCAGTGATTTGGACAGTAAAAATTTCTCCTACAGCCATAAAAAAATTTAAAAAAAAATCAAAACACAAGAAAAATTAAAAAATGATAAAAGGTAAGATGAAATAAACTCTTTATGAACAAATACAATGACGATGTCCTATGTTAAAAAAAGGTACACGTGCCTCAAGTTCATATAATGTAGAAATTCATGTATATACTGCTTAAAAGTAAAGATGCAAAGACTGAGAAAATGAGTCAACAAGAAACTGACTTCCGCAGTCTAAACCAATTAAGCACACAGAATCCAAAAATCCAAATTGCTACAATTCTCTCTCTCTCTCTCTCTCTCTGGAATGCTTTACTATTTGTGACTTGGAAACACTGAGTGTTGGGTGTGGGATGCACACCTTAGGCCTGCATGTCTCTGTAAAAACCACAGCGGCTACTGTAGCTCCCTTGACTTGTGCTTCTTCACTGAAACAGAATACTATATAGTATTAACTTATCTTTGCACTTCTAAAACCAATTGAGTAGTTTGTATTTACATCTTGTTTTTCAGACCAAAAGGAACATTGGCCCATTTCTCTTCATTAAGTTTATTAGATTTTGGTATCAATATGGAGAATTTATAAAATAACCTGGAAACTTTCACAAGTTTTCCATTTTTATATCCTGTTGTATGCACACATTAAAATTACCTAGCATTTAAAATTCAAAGGATTCACTATTAAAACATTTGGCTCTATAATTTTAGAGTTGGCTGCTGTAACTTTTTCAATCAGTGTACTGATAAACTCAGGTTATCTCCATTTTGAACCTAACTAGGCTTCCATGCTATTTTGGACATTTCACCTCATTAGCTTTCCAAATTGCCACATAAAACTGAACATATTCTATCTTTGGAAGCACTTAAAACTAAATTTACTTTTTATATCATGCTAGTATTAACCAAGATGACTGAAGACTTACATTAAAAAAAGATAATCAATGCATGGCAAAAACTTTTCTAATAACAAATGTCTATGTAAGCAGGAACACATTTGACAGGTACAAAACCATCAATAAAAATATACAATTAAAAATATAATCTAAGACTACAGAGAATCCCTGTCTTGAGAAAACAACAAAAATTCATAATTTCTGAATATTAAAAAGTTAAAATGGAAAAATTAGTTGCCTCATATTAGTTATATGCAAAAAAGTCATTACACAAATTTTAAAAATTATTAAGCCCTCAGCAGAAACACAGGCAAAGAATATAGAAGCTAATTATGTAAGAAATACAAAATGATATAAACATATAAAGTGTCCAACCTCCCTAGTTGACCTTCTTTAATTAAAGAAATACCAATTAACACATTAAGACTTTTTCCCCAACAAGACAAGTTTTACAGTGTCCACTTTTGGAAAGGGTAACAAAGGAAACACTGATCAGCACTGGTGATGATATGAACTGGTCTAATCCATCAAAGGCGGCTGAACAATGTATAGCAACAGCATTAGGGTTGTACAAACTTAGTGACCTATTTTTGCATGCCTAGAAATTATTTGAGTAAATAAACAAAGATGTTTGCAGGAACTAGAATGCTCATAACTGTCTTTAAATAATGCAAATAAACCCAAGGTCTTAATCTACAATTAAAGAACATGGTTGAAAGCCTCATCCTCTGATGGTTTTAGTCATCTTAAACAGCAATAAGCATACACCTGAAACAAGTATCTTAATCTGTTGCTATAGGAACAGGGTTTCTCTATGTAGCTCTACTTGTTTTGAGGATGGCCTCAAACTCACAGACACCCCCCTGCCTCTGCCTCATGCAGGGGGCTTAAAAGAGTGCTCCACTGAGTCCAGCTATAGGATATATATTTTAGAATCTTGAAAGAAGCCTCCCTTAAAGTAAAAGAAGGGAGGGACAGAGG